TTGTTCTCTTTCTCAACAAGCTTATTTGCACAAAAGTTTTCAATTTTAATGAAGCCAACATTATATTTTGCCTTTTGTTGCTCACGTTTTTGGTGCCATGCCTTAGAATTCTTGTCAAAAAGCATTTTATTTTTGACCATGGAATAAAAACTAGAAGTGGTTAATAAAAGAACTGGTGAGTATTGTCAGAAGATGCCATCTTTAGTTTGTGCTCATTCTTCCTGCTTGTACTGATGACGGAGGGCATGTCTTGCTGGGTTGTGTTCTTCCTTCTGTCTGTCATGACGAACAGCAGGAGATTGCAGAAAGGAGGGTTGGGAAATGGTAGAATGATTCACCCGGCCCTTCAGCCAGGGATTGTTACTATTCTTCCTTTTACCTTCGATGCTGAGGTGCCATGCCCTTTATTTCCTTGTGGTGGTTTTCACCTTCTGTGCATTGCTCTTGCTCTATGTAGTATGTGTTTCCGTGATGCAGATGCTTCAATCCACAAATGACTGGTGTTGCATACTGAATCATGGCACACAAATTCAAACTGTTTCTCAGTGGCTCTCTAAGTCAGGGATATGTGAATGAGTTTATCCTGTCAACCGAGTGGCTTTGTTGTGATGTAATTTCAGCAGTTGCTCGTGGCAGCTGTTACTCGAAGCCAGCTGGTGTAGATATCATGGTGGGGAAGAGCGAGCCACCGAGGACGTGAAACCGGGCCTCGGTCATGGCAGCATGACACTGCGCCGTGTGTTTCACTCGATGCTTTCCTGGTTCAGTCTCTTGCTTCACTTCCCCAATTTGAGAAACTGCTTTCTTTTTGTGACCAGCATATAATTGAAGTTAATGTCTTGCATTTCGAAAAGTTACTTTCTTTCCTAGATCCCAAAAGATCAGGAGGATGCTGTGTATTAAGCAATGGTGTTTAGTAAGCCTCAGAAGTGAAGTTTGGGACCTAGTGAACCATAGAAACTCTTTGAATGTAGGTTACGAGGGTCTTCAAGTGTTCACGGGAAAATGGAATGAAAAGAACATGGAATATTTCTATGAACTTGCGGAAAGAGCTCTCAATGTCTTTGTTACTGTTTGAATGCAGGGTGTTGTGACCTCATTGTTCTCTCTGGGGAGCTGCTGTCCACAATTAAAACATTTCTGGATGCAACCCCAGTCATGGACTCCCACCACCTCTGCTTATGGTTTAGTCCCTTTGCTGAACCTCATCCAGTCTTGCTTACTCAAATAGCATTAATCCCTTAGACATTCCTGGTTGGGGGCTGGGGGTAGTATGGGCATGGTATGTCCGTGAAGGGAAGTTGGATACCACTGCATGTCCTAGGTAATGCCTAATTTCCATGGACAATTTCTGTGTGTTTTGTAATAGTTTAGAATTGATATATTGCTCAAAAATTAACATTAAGAGATCCAGCTGCTCTCAAAGTGGTATTATTAGTAGTGGTTCTCAGAAAGAGGAAAGAATTTCTGGGCTTTAAGATTACCTTTTCAATTATTTCTTTTTCTCCCCTGTCAAAATGCTAGCCTGCTCCATTTTCACCAAATATTAAGTTAAATGTCTTATGCATCATGGTCCCCTTGTTTAAAAGTATGTATATTGCTATAATTTTTACTGACTTGTAAATGCTCATACGCCCTTGTAGACAAATGGTACTTTTAATGCAGACTTTGTAATCCTAGGAACTGAATAGGCATGAGCATTTTTCATTCACAGCGTGACCTTAATTGAGAGGGATTCTGGAGTGGCCGTGGAAGGTCGTCTACATGTGCTGTCTTTCCTTGCACTGCCGAGGCTCTAAATATTTATTAATCATTACTTATGCATACTCTGTAATGCCATACCTTGTCGGGGACTGCCGTACCTTTCAGAGGGCATTATTCAGGTAGTTGATAATGAGCTCATCATTTTCCAGGAAAAACATGAATGTATCTCTCTCAGCATATCGTAAACTTTAGGGTAGTTTATGATCTCCATATTAATAAAGACAACATCCCCCTGCTGGAAGGAGAAAGGACATGGAAATGAATCCACTGTATATCACAATATTATACACTCAAAACATTAATGTTTTGTCATATTAATTTATATTCTCATCAATCCCATTGATAGATTAATGTTACCTTTGCACTCTTAACTAAATTGAGGTATTTTACCACAGTTTTGGGATCACCGAATGCTGCTTTTTATGAATTAATTACATCAGGGCACAGATTACATATTACTATTAGCAATAAAAGCATGTGTTTTAAGGTATAGCGTATAATCAATATTTTCATTTTCTTAAAAAATTAACGTGAAAATATGCATAGCAGCACATGCATTCATTCTCCAATGTCTACATGTACAATTCTGTGACACTGGTGACCGTCCTCATATCTCATCACCCTTCTCACTGCTGCTGGCCTGCATTACCCTCTGAGCTGCTTAATTATATTTTCGAGTTAATGTTAACAGTTGGATCTCATATTAATAATTCCTTAAAAGAGCTCCTAGTGCATGATGAACACTCATAGCTAATTTTGCCAAACATTTGTTTAGTTTAAAGATGATTTTAGGGGAGAACTTCAGTACATGGGTTAAAGGTTTTCTTAAAATGGTAGATTTCCTCCCATCTCAATACATACAGTACGTTTGGGTTTTGTAGGAATGTCTTTTCATTTTCTTCTCCATTTAGTCTTAACTGGTGACGATTCAATACATTGAGACTTTATTGATTAAGTAATTAAGACGTTGACAACAGCTTTTTAGAAGATTGCTACCATCAATGCTCTGACCTATGGATTCACATAAAATGTACCCTTTAGTTAGACACTAGGCCTTCAGCTGAGAACTTAGAAATGCCAGTGTGACCGCATTGTGACATGGGTCCGATTAGCTCCTATGAATTGGAATGTAACTTCCTGGACTTGTGGTTATTTCCCTAAGTTCTTCCTTTCAGGAACTCAAAACCCTCAGCTGAAAGGAAACAAGTTACCTAACTCAGAGGGTTGAAAATGAAGGCTGATTCTCTCGGCCATCGCTCGTGCCAACTGATGAACAAAAGGTTTCTCTAAGGAGGCAGCTTGTTCAGTGGTTCTTTGTCTCTGCATATGAGCAATCTAATATAGTCGGCATTTTTTAGTAAATGCAGGAATGCAGTGCCAGTTTCCATCTTCTACTTTAAGTATAGTAAAACCAGTTCTGTCAGCAAGCATTTTATTAAATGTCCCAGTACATCTCTTAGACATCATAGAAAAAAACATACAAGCTGGGAATCAGGAGCGAATTACCCTTATTCTAAAGAGCTGAAGGAACATCTTATCATTGTTTGTGTTTAAGGTTGGAAGGTGTCCTTTTTTTTTTCCTTTAATAAATCATTTTATTGGGGTTTTTATAGCTCTTATAACTATCGATACATCAGTTGTATCAAGCACATTTGTACATTTGTTGCCATCATCTTTTTTCAAAATATTTTCTTTGTCTTTGAGTCCTGGGTATAAACTTCTCTTTTTTCCCACTCTCCCACTCACATGGACCCCCTCATAAATGATAATTTATTATTATTATTTTCTTTTCTTCTTTTTTTTTTTTTTGAATGACATCTTTTTATTACCTGAAAATACCCGTGGTCATTTCTTTTTCTTTTTTTTTTAACATTTTATTAGGGGCTCATACAACTGTTATCCCAATCCATACACACATCAATTG